TATTATCAAACCCCTAAACAAGGATATGCACAAACAAGCATGTAAAGTTCTAGAATTAAAAGTCTATTAAACCTGTTTCCAGTGTCTCCATTTTGTCTCGCTTTTCCATTTTGAACAGCAGCTAGAATGACAGAGAAAAAGAAAGCAACTGACATATGTGACAACCAATGTTGTTACATATCGCACCTCTGACTACAAAGCTCAAATATTTCATCTAAACTCACACACTGTGGCGGCAACATGCCTTCTTATTTGGTTTAGTTTGCACAAGCAAAGACTGTATGACAAGGGGTCATCTAAATGGCATTATAACGACAACTATAGCAACAATAACCGCAACAGAAAGCTACACAGCACGCCATCAAACTAAGAAGATTTACATTCAGCCATTAATAGGATCAACAGTTGCCTATTAATTCATTTTGTCATCAAAGTTTATGACTATGAAACTGATGCCAAATAGAAAAAGGAAGAATCTTGCAGTAGGCTTCTGTATGTGTTTTCTTACCATGTTCTCTCTCTGCTTGGGCCAAGGTTTCAGGATCCACCTGCATGCCATCCAGACAGACCGACAGGTCACCTACGACGTCCTTGGGGTCTCTGTCGGAGCACAGCTGCATTGTCTGCACCACCTCACACACTGGGATAGGGATGACATGTTGAACACATGAACTAATCACTCAGTAACAGAACATGCACTTTTTGAGGTTGCCCTGAGGTTGACACAATGTCCCATGTTTTTATCAATTCCTCCTGTAATATCTGCAAATATAATAAACAAACACATATAAAATAGTTTATTTGGAGGGCTATCCTTTCGGGTTCTTCAAAATAATATAATTTAAAAAGTATTTAACGCTATTTTCAGCCCTGCTCAGGGAGTATATGACTTTAAAGATTGCCAATATGTCACATGATTGTGGGTGCTGACCAGGTCTGAGGGGAGCCATTGTATTGAGTTATAAACAGACTCAGCACAGAGCAGAGGAGGATGTGAGCTTAGGTGAGGCCTCTATTTTTGTTAAGGTTGTTAAGCTTATCAAGGCCCAATAAAGCATTTCCATAACAAATACCAGCACTCTTACATATTACATGTCCTAAATGTCGATAGACAAGGACGCACAAAACAAATATTGAAAGTGAGATTACAAGGGATATAACAAGTTATTATCCTGTCAATAAGTAAGCCTGCAGTGGGAGTTCTTTCCTGATGACATCATAATGTACTATGAGAATCGACCTCCCCCTGAGCCTGGAACAAATAATTCCATACTCTATTACTTCACATACTCTACTCAATTACTAATATTTATCGTTCTAGTAATGACAAACACAGCACAATATATCCAGACAGCAGAATAATATCGTAGTTGTCAAATGTCAAAAAGTGTAAAAGTTAGAAAGAACAATAAATGAAGATACAATTAGAACAGCCCATAGGAGTATGAAAGTAGTGTGAACTCACATTTCAGGTCATTACTCCTGAGGGTTTCAAGGATTTCCAGTGTTGCCATTCCCAACAAGATATCAGCCTTCAGTGTCTGGTGGCTCCAAACACGAAAGATCAGTTTGCTGACCGGAGTCACAATTCTGTAGAAAAATAAGAAGGTAAAATGGGTCAACAACAGAAAACCAGATTAAAGATGATCTGTGCAAATGCTCATTGTCAAATAGTTAGCTTTGAGGAAATCAATCAGTGATGGTTGTAGTATTATTTCTTGTTTCATGAGCTGAGGGAGGTCTACTTTAAAGGGCTAAAGCTTATTCTATATTTGAATTTGTAATCACTGCAATGGAATATCTTTCCAGTAGAACCATGAACAATTTAACACATCACTGAGAACAATTAGAACTGTGTAGATTCACTTGCTATGTTATTGAAGCTATATCAGATATTGGTGATTAAATTAAGTTTTAATCATTAAAATATCTATTTTAGTTCAGCACTGAACCAAGTAGAATAATCTATCAGCTAATTGTTGAACTGCTTCTGATCCAAATGAAGAGAGTCATACTTACACTGTGAGATCCTGCTTCCATTTTGGACTGTGCGTGTTGTTGCACTTCTCTGTCTTCTTTGACTGGCCGTCCACAGCTACCTCAACATACGGACTGGGGCCAAACCAGTTCTTTTTGTTTTCCTTCAGCCTGGCTGAAAGCACTAGGAAGAAAACACCAGCATGTATTAAAACTGAACATTTGACTCTTCATGAAGTTAGGATTGATTGAAGGACTGTTGTATATGGAGCATTATTTTTTTAGCCAGTGATAGTTGGATTTGGAAAATATGTTCCAACCAGCTAAATCCAATAATGTATGAATATATTCAAATTACCAATTCCTGTGACCCCCACTGAACACAGCAACAGTCAGTGACAGCTCTCTGAACCTGCTTTTGACTACAGGGACTTAACCAACTGTGCCAGCGACTATCAAAGGGCAACAATTAGCTGTTGTAGGGAAGTTTGTCTAAAATACAGTCCAAAAGATCATGTCTTAACTGCTTTTGATTGGCCTGTTGTTAACACAAAAACAGTGGTCAGCAAAAAGTAACAACACCCAAACACAAAAGCAAAATGAAAAGTAGGTGCGGGTGATATTGATGATTGTCGCTACCCCCACTTGAAGCACTTACACACACGCCCACACAGACACTCACCTACACTACCCACCTCCAAACAGTCACACACACTGTTAGTGAATTATCTGTGACTGGCATACAACCCACACATGTACCTGGGCCCCAACACTAACCATAACCTGCAGGTTTCCAAAACTAAAATCAAACAACCCCTCACCACCAACACTTGTTTCCTAACTGTTGTTGGTAGACAGAACATTTTACAATTCTTACAATAATAACATCTTACCTGTGACTTGCAGTTGGGCCTTCATGGTTCATCCATAACACTGCAGCCTTGTTCGGCTGCACCAAAAACAACCTGCGACAACTGCAAGCAAGGACAGCAAAGTCAACGTCGGACACTTCATGCAGGTGAACTATGGTGTGGTGAACTTCAGTTGTCATGAAAACTTTTAGTTTGCCCAGTTTGGAAGATTTTAGACATAAAGAGCCCTGTCTATGGTAAAGAAAACAACAATTTATTAATGCAATTTAGATGAAACACACCAGTGCAAACATCACTAGGATTATTTTATATTCAATTTCTGCCCAAAACTTCCTTTAGCCTAAATCTTACACACTGAACCTTTAAAGGCAGCATCATTTCATTCACCGGCTTTATCTCGCTCTGGAATCACTTGCTGTGGATTGGACACCTCTGTTATCATGTCATGGAAATGGAAATGTGAGATGTTATCGTCCGGACACACACTGCGACCACAAGAAGTGATTTGTGTCTAAACTACGTCAAGAAGCCACCGAGTACCTTCCATAACAGAAAATCCCTTCCGTAACTCTAAGCCTCACTGAAGCTGCCTTTGTGGAACAGAACAAGTAGATGTGTTAGCTTCACTGCTGCGGGCAGGTCGGGTGGTGAACACGGGCAAAGACAGATTGAGTAGAGACACTCAGACATGAAGTTAGAGAGGCGACATGTCCCCTGCTGCTACCTGGTCCGTGAAGGCAGCTCCTCATACAACATGTAGCTGTGTGTTAGCAGCGGCGTTAGCCAACAGGAGATTATCGCCAAGACAACGTCAAACACCAGATTCAGCCGCGATATTGTTCTTGTATTATTCACTATAATGATAACGGGTTTTATGAGAGCGTGAATTTCTCACAGAAACTGTGAAGTTCCACCACCTGGAGCAACTTCTCTCGCCGAGCGTGAGCTTTAGCATCAAGTGACGTTACTAATGCTAACAGCAGCCCGCTAACTCGTTAGCTTCGATCGGCCGCTGGAGAAACTCGCACATTGCTCGTGGAGTGACCGACTCGACTGTTCGTACCTGATGTGAGAAGACGACAGGGAGACACAGAGACTTTCAGTTCCAGCGATAACTAGACTGTTGACAGGGAGCCGCCTGCCATCATCAGCGCGGGGCCATGTTCCGTTAGCTAGCACAAGACCTGCTCTTCCGGTGCAGCTTTTCTAAATAAAAGAATGCAACGCACAAAACAATTCAATTGCAAAAATGCTGCCGTACAATCTTCACAATTAAGGCACCTCTTCTCTTAATAAGTAGATATCCTTGTTAAGTTATAATATAATTGATACGATTTGGTTAAGTAAAGAGGAAAACAATAATTAATTTCCATTTGAAGTGAAAATGCTAAATATTTCATGTTTATCTAGAAATAATTTGCAGTCACCTGAATATTATCTTTTAACTTCTTTTAAAACACAAACAAACTATTTATTACTTTGTGCTCCTAAAATTATTACTTTTTTTATTTTTTAACATACTTCAGGTATCCAGAGGTCCAAAGGATAAAAAACATTGATAAAAAATAAATGTTAATAATGAGCACATCTATATATTTATGGTAATCACCGGTTACAGACCTAGTTTAATACATTTTTATGACAAAACTCTTTAACTCTTTAACGCACCTTAACTGGAATGTGCAATATAAATAAAGTGTATTATTCTTTTTCTTATTTGATTTTTTTTTTAGCTGTAGTAGTCTAGTGGTTGAGGTAGCAGTAGGTTAATTGCCATATAATAATAATAAAAATCCAAGAGACCCAGGGACACTTTATATTTGTCAGTAGGGACAGAAAGAAATATAGTACTAGTCATAGTAGTAGTATTTGTAATATAAGCACTATTATTGGTAGTAGTATTATTATTAAGTGTTAGTAATGGTATTAGTAAGATATAATGGTGTTATTGTCAATTGTTCACACTCTTATTTTGAAGGGTAAAACGGTATGACGTCAGAACTGATAGCTACGTCACCACAGGATGAACTTTTAGGATTTAAATAATAAAACAAACTTCGCTCAGTTATTCTGAAGTTTCATTGTGCGTCTGATTCTGACGCAGTTTTATTGTGTAGATAAATAACACAACTATGACGACATTACACTGATGATGACACGCGCCGCCATTTCTGGACACGCCCACATGTGACATCCTCCAGCCCGTGTCTCGTGACATCAGTCAGCTGTGAGCTTCTCTTCTCGGTCCCGGGTCTTAAATGTCGTGTTGTCCAGCGGGTTCAGAGTAAACTGTTCTGAGGTCATCTCTGCAGCCGCTGAGGATGTTGTCTCGCCTGCTGAAGGAGCACCAGGCCAAGCAGAATGAGCGGAAGGAGCATCAGGGTGAGAGGCTGCTTCCTGTTAGCTCCGAGGCTAACGTGGGCTAAAAACAAAGCTCCGTGTCGCCTCTGTGTGTCTGTGTTGACGACTTGTCTTTGTTTCCTGCGCAGAAAGACGAAGGCGTGAAGCCATAGCTGCAGCCACCAGTCTGACAGAGGCCATGGTGGACCACCTCAACGTCGGGTAGGAGAACGATGCTCTGCTGCGGTCATGTGCTCCGTCGTTTGTGAAAGCCAGCCACACTTTGAATCTCGATTTCTCATAAATTCTGCAGTAAAATCTTCTGGACCTTGATTTTCAGACAGTGGGGGGTCACCATGAACAACAGTGAGGTGAATTATCTGTGTCACCTCTCGAGGAATATTTTTAAATAATGTTTAATATGAGCAAGTTGTGAGAAAGTAGCCAATCTTGCCTTTAATTTTCATTAAAAAACATATAATATTCCATTTCATTACACTAGTGTGGAATTCAAATCGATCGTCCATAATAAATGTCATTAAACTTTCAACTTGTGTCTTCGGCTTTATTTCCGCCACGTGCAGGCCTGACTGGATTTTCACAAACGACGGACCACATGACCTCAGTGCTGTATTGTGCCTCACACATGACCCGTCCTGCTTGTAGTGATGAAGATGATAGATAATGATGATGATGAGCTGAGGTTCTGGACATGCTAGGATGGGATATGTGGATACACTCCAGTCACTCAGTTCCCATCTGCTGCCAAAACCTAGCACAACACAACAGAAGCCATCACTTCATTTTTATCCATTAACAGTGTGTGAGTGCTTCTGAAACAAGTACACTGGGTTTGTACTAAATAATTATTTTATATTATAAATGTCTTCCTTGTTTGCCAGTGTCTGATATTCATTATCTCTGTAATTTATGCAGGTATCTGGTTAGCTAACAGATTTCAGTCAGGCTGACCCATCGATGGTACCCCACCACCAAAGCCTCTCTCTGAACCAGTTAAATAAAGCAATCTATTCCTGGCATTGTGAAATTGTTCCAGTGTGTGAGAAAACTGCAAATAGTACATTGAGATTGTGAAAGTTGTGATTAAACCAAGACAATCAGCTTAAAGAACCAGAGTTGAATGAAAATCCTTTAGTGACTTAAAAAAAAGATTAAGTCTTATTTGAATATTGCAGAATTTCAGAGGATAAATGGACAAATTAATGGCTTCAGAGTATTAAATACAATTTCACTCTCACATGCCACAGTGGATATATTATACACAATTCTATATTTGAATGTATTAACCATACTGCTCCTCTGTTTTACTGTAGGGTTGCTCAGGCGTATGTAAACCAACGTAAGCTGGACCATGAGGTGAAGACTCTCCAAGTGCAGGCGAGCCAGTTCTCCAAACAAACTGCTCAGTGGATCAGTATGGTGGAGGGGTTCAACCAGGCCCTTAAGGTAGGATACACCCTCTCAGGAATATATTTATCAAGTCTATTAGATCTTTATTTTATGTATAATTTATTGAACCAGGAAGGTCCCACTGAGATATAACACAATTCATCAATGAGTGGCAACCACTGATGCTGATGTTGTCCACTTCTTCTGACCAGGAAATTGGTGATGTGGAGAACTGGGCGCGCAGTATTGAGATGGACATGAGGACCATTGCCACAGCTCTGGAGTACGTACACAAGGGCCCGCTTCAGTCTGCTTCCTCATAAACTACATGAGCAACACTGGGATGAAACAGAAATCCACCTGACCCCCGTCACAGAGATGCAAGGAGCAGTGACTTTGCCCGTAGCCACTCCTCTCTGACTGGGCTAATGCTGAAGATTACTTTGTGCAGAGCGTCACTGCTTCAGTGTGAGCTACAATATTACCCAGGGCAGCCACACTGTGATGCTGGAGTTCAGAGATCAGAGTGTACAATGAAATGGGTCGAATCGCTGACTTCACTTGACAAATAACAGGAAATGAGTAATTGTGGAAGAAACTTGAACATTATGGAATTGTAAAGGTTTTGCATGCAACAACTTAGTATTTCTTTTAGTAAAAGGTTAAAGGGGCCTGACATCGCCAACTGTTTCATTGTATGGAGCAGAGACTGTAAATAATGATGGTCGACGCGTCTCAGATTGTATTAAAAAAAAGAGTCAGTGTCAGCTGTCAATCATGACATTTTTACCCCATTTTTATAGCATCAAATGACAAATTAAAATCCAACTTATTTGAATCATGAACACTTGAACATACATCATTGTGATAAGACCTGCTTAAAATGACAGGATATGGAGGAGGTGGGGGTTATTACCTATAATGCAGCCAACAACCAGGGGGCGATCATGGTCATTTGGCTTCAATTTGGGGAGCTGACATTTCGTCCATATTTACAGACAGTCTACGGTCTGTTGTTTTTTAAAAGGCCTTGTTTCAGCACCTGATACCTAAAATATGTGTGTCTATTTTTATTTATTTTACACCTGTGTATATCCATGACTGCTCAGCTTTTTGTTCAAACATTTTATTTTGAATAAAAGTTAAAAATAATAATGGTGTTTCTTTTTGTTTGAAATGTGGTGGACGGCTTAGATATGGCTGTTACCAAAGTGGAAGATGGAGGCAGAGTGACAAGTGAATTTCATTAGTCATTTTTATTGGTGGTAGTGGACAGAGCTTTGCAACAAACATGCTTGTGAGCCTATAAATACAATAACTGGTTAAATATTTGCCCGGCTCTGCTGATTCAATACAAGGAATGTGTGACGTGAGGGAAAGTTATGTCGAGAAGCCCATTCAGATAATTGCATGTTTGGTAACAAATAACACTTTCAATTCACTGCACAGTGTCAGGATAGAGAACAAGGAACAGACATAAGCCTTACCACGTCATATGTCATAGAATTACGTTGTTATATAGGAGGCTTGTTCATAGTCTCAGTGAAAATATCTAAAGCAACATTGAGACAAAGCTTACATTAGTCCAGACTGGACAAACTAAACACCTTTTGAGTTTTTTATGACAACTGAAGCCTCCACAGGTTTTCTTTCATGTTTGGAAGGAGAGGGTGAGGTGAGGGGTGTTCAGCTGCAACATGAAACTTCAACACTTGATATCATTAAATTCCACACACTGTACCTTTAAAGCTACAGTTTTGTGGAAGCTGTAATTTTGAAGGAAAACACTTATCATTTTTGCACCTTGGTTTTATTGGCCTAATGTATTGATAAGATACAATACACAGTACAGTACAATGGTTACAGTCCACTCTGCAGTAATGAACTGTAAGCTCTTACAGAGTATACAGCATATATTGTTAGGGTTGTAAACTGATAGGTCACTGAACTCAATGCCAATGGGATTATACACATTTTTGAGGGTATACACAATGTAGGATCATCAGAAACAAAGTATGTTATACATGCATGTACACACTGAGAAAAATCAGACTCTGAGATTGTTTGCAAGATTTCTTCTCAAATATTTGTTACTTGATAATAGATATTGCTCTGTGAGAAGTTGGAATATGTAAAATAAATTCTGGGATATCCAAGTTCACATATTGTACAGGAAAATCTCTCTGTAGGCCCAAACACTTTTTTTCTCAAACACACACACACATTATGGATTGGGGATTACCAATTGCGGACTTGTCTTAAGGGATAAACCAGAGGGATAAAGCCTCTCTGGGACCAGCCTCTGAGTTCGGATAAGAAAAGCCAGAAAGGGAAAGGGAAGAGGACGGGTAACTTCCATCACTTCTCAAAAATAGGAAAAGGTAAGATGATACACTTTTTTTATGAATATATGTTTTACTATTGAATTACCACTGAGTATTTCTGTCTGTCATGAATGTTGTGGCTCTTTTTTTTTCTTTCTTCATAACATGGATGATGGTGATGGTAACAATTTGACAAAGATATGTGGGATTTAATCAGAGAAATAATACATTTAAATGTGTAGCTTACAGCAAAGAGTTATTCCGTTTTTAAGTTAAGGTTTGTTATATCTAATCAAAGTATATTGATTGTTACAATTATTTCCTATGTGGAACTTTTTATCGATATATATATTTCGTAGTGTTGTGAAACTAAATTTAATATTCTTAACCTGAGATGTAATTTTAAAGGATCATTAACTTTTTAACTGAACAGCAACAGTATGGATACAGTACCTGATTTAAGTTTTTTCAATTTTGATATAATGGTTATTTTGAACTTCATTTTACATTTATTCTCATTAATAAGCCTGAAAACTAATTGGTTTTCTGCAGTGAGCAGCTTAAGCAGCTCAGTCACGGGCCTTACATTAATGCTCCAAAACAATGCACCCCCCTGCCTCAGGTCTCGTTCCCTCACAGATGCCTTTCTTTCTTCTGTAAGAGTCTTATCCAAAGATTTCTCATGTGCCCAAAGCAGTTCTGTATTATTCTTACCTAAGAACCTCGGTGAACCAATTCATTGTTCTCCATAGTTATCGAAAAGGATCATCAAACCGAATACTTAACAAATACCAATACAAAAACCAACTACATTATTATGAAATCGAGTAGGGATTTGATTATGGGAATGCCTGGAATTTTCATATGAGTATTTCCTCATTCTATTCAAGTCCCTGAAAAGGAGATTTGGAAGTTTGCCATGTCAATACCCAGCAACAAATGTTTTTTCAGTAAGCACCAAATCCTCCGGGGGAAAGACCCTCTTTAAGTCCTGAAATCAGCATGGAGACACAGTTCATCTATGACCTTTTAGGGTAAGAAATACCGACGCTACACCAGGGTCATTTTAGACAATTATGACACATTTAATATATCTTTTCTACATTAACGTGTTCTTATCTGTATAAATTCTACTTCTTTCAGGGAAAATGCTTGGTTGTACGTCAGCGCCACCTTTGCAGTGTTGTGGATTCTTGTGTGGCTGTACAGAGACAACCTGGAGATCGACGAGATCAACGACAAGTACGTCTTTGTGAGCGGCTGCGACTCCGGGTTTGGAAACTTGCTGTGTAAGAAGCTCGATCGAAAAGGTTTCAGAGTGCTGGCCGGCTGTCTCACGGAGAAGGGAGCTGATGATCTGAGGAGGGTGACGGGCCCCTGTCTGAAGACTGTCCTCCTGGATGTGACCAATCAGGACAGCATCCAGAAAGCCATGGAGTTTACCAAGAAGGAGGTTGGGGATAAGGGTGAGAGAAGATTTGCTGAGAGATAACTCTTAATTAAAGGCACAACTCAACAAACATATCCTCTTCCCCTCTTTGTCCTCCATTCCCCTTGTAGGACTGTGGGGTATCGTGAACAACGCTGGACGTGCACTGCCAATGGGCCCTTCAGAGTGGATGAGAGTGGAAGATTTCCACAGCACGTTGAAAGTCAACATGAACGGAGTGATCGGCATGACGATGACTTTCCTGCCCCTCATTAAAAAGGCTCGTGGACGCATCGTAAATGTGGCGTCAGTGCTCGGCAGAGTGGCTGCAAACGGTGGAGGATACTGCATCTCCAAGTTTGCAGTGGAGTCTTTCTCCGACTGCCTCAGGTAAGAGTTACAACCTGGTCCACAGATACTGCAGATTGGTTAAACACAGAGAAAGTATTTTGTGTCAAGTTCTCTACTCAGATATTTTACATATCACAAATAACATTAAACATAATCTGGCAACCCAAACATTATTCATATTAATGACTTTTAACTGATCTTTAAGGTGGTGGTAAATTGATTAATAACTTATTTATCATTCATTTAATGGTAATCTTCTTTTTTTAATGTATAGAATATGAACAAGTATCGTATATGTTAGTCTTCATGATATTTTCTGTATCCAGGAGAGATATAAACTACTTTGGAATCAATGTGTGCATCATCGAGCCGGGGTTCTTTAAGACGGCTGTGACGAGCCTCGACCCCCTCGAGAGGGAGCTGCATCGCTTGTGGAACCAGCTCAGCCCTGAAGTACAAGCCAGCTACGGAGACAAGTACCTGGATAAGTGTAAGTACACACCAGGCCTCTGGTCAGTATTTCAGTGGACTGAAGGACCTCATATTGACCTCGAATTGCACTCAATAGAACACATTCCTCTGCCAAGGTCCCAAAGTCCCCTACAGTCAATAAAGCTAGAGCAACACTCATAGATGTTTGTCCCTAAATATGTTGGTTTCATGCATTATTCTCTGGCACATTGGTGAAAATGTGAAACATTCCTGGATCCACCCATTTGTCTGGATCTGCCAAAATGTAATGGGGTCTTACTCTGTCAGGCTCATTGTGCTATGTGAAAATGTCACATCACGTATCTCACTGAGTATAAAGTACATACATTTCAGGTGCACTGAAAATAAATGATTAGTTCTGTTCATGTGCTTGTTCTCGTCAGACATCAAGGTCCAGCGTTTGATCATGAATGCTATCTGCGACTCTGACCTCACCAAGGTGACCAGCTGCATGGAGCACGCTCTGACAAGTGCTCACCCCCGCACCAGGTACAGCGCTGGCTGGGATGCCAAGCTTCTCTGGATCCCCCTCTCTTACATGCCTTCCTGTGTCATTGATATTGGACTGAAGCTGGTTCTGCCTCGTCCTGCAAAGAGCGTGTAACTCGTCATGAGATCGATTTGAAGTTATCAGCCTTCATATAAACCGTGTCACTTTGATGAATTATATATATAATATATCTCCCTGTAAATGCGTGCGTGTGCAAAATCTGCTTGACACTTTTAGACAATGCAAAAGAAAGTAATGCAATTGTACAATAAAATTTGCCGTATGAATATTTTGTCAAGTGTGTTTCATCTCAATTGAATGAATTGTTTTTTTCTTTACCATAGAATGGGCCCTTTATATTTACATGGAGGGGGGGTCCTCTCTGTGGAGGCCGCCATGTTTTTTACTATCGTCTAATACGGGAAAACTAAAACCTTTTGAGTTTTCATGACAACTGAAGTTCACCACAGGTTCTCTTTATGTTTGGAAAGGGAGGGTGAGATGAGGAGTGTTCAGCTGCAACATGCAACTTCACCTCTAGATGTCACTAAATTCTGCACACTGAACCTTTAACTAGAATGAATACCAGAGAGTGCAAAACTCCGCCAAGGCCGAGCTGTCCCATAATGAAACCACTTTTCCAGATCTGCACCAAATTACACACACTCATAGACACCTGCCCGGTGTATCCTGTCAGTCTCTGATTCTCAGAGCAGGTTCAGCTGCTTTTATAAAACTCTCTTATCCAAATGTTTTGATTCTTATTTGAAATTGGGTGACTGAACGCTGAGTGGGGGGGGGGGGACACATGTGTGCTCTCCTCTGGTTTGCTGTTGACTGACAGCTGCAACATGAGGTGTTGCAGCTGTCACCCCCCCCCCCCCCCCCCCCCCCCCCCCCCCCC